AAGCAGAACGTGCGCACTTAACCACTGTACCACCGGGCCGGCCCCTCCATCCCACTTTGAACAGGCAGCTAACTAACTTATCAAGCACCACTTTTTCATAGAAACATTAACTGATGAACATGTCCAGACTTTTTTTTTAATGAATTACTTTATTCCTAAAGCAGTCCTTCTCATCCAGTTTTTGGTGGATTTCCACTTCTACAAAGGTACCAGTAAAGCATATCTACTAATCAGGATTAATCTGCAGGGAAAAATTCACCAGATTTTTTTTCCAAAGAAAAACACCAGCAGCTTGACTGAAATGGCTATTTCTTAAGCTATCCACATTAAACTGAACAAACAGTTACATAACATTCTCCCCTTCACTACGGTTTTCATTTGCAAATTCAGCTTTGAGGGTTCAGGTACTATTTGCTTTTCTTTTCATGCACAACAAAAAAATTAAGAAATAAGATATTTTCTTGTTTAAACTTTCTTTTCTTCCCAGGGGTGTCCTCATTCCTTCACCTTAGCTTCCTCCAGCCCCTCATGAGGGTGTATCTGTATATTGGCTGGGTGACACAGGGTGACAGAGTTTCCAAAGACTTGAAGAAGATGGTATTGAGCATCAATCCCCACTCAGTACATCTGTATCTGGGATCCCCCTAGGAAAGGATGCCACCTCACAGTCAAGTAGAATACAGAGAGGTAAAAAGCTACCAGCAAAAAACCAAAACACAAAGGAAACATCTTCCCCACCTTCCTCGTTGTAGCTCAGCGAATCACATTTTTTTGTCGCATACTCACTCCCTCAGTCAAGGTCCTACTGAAGAAATCATATCAGAACTCTCAGATCCTTCTTTCAGGCCCTTACCTTCAGCCTCTCAACTCCTTATTCCGAATTCCCTCCTCCTCTCCAGAGTGTACCCTGCACCTGTCCTTTTCGTCGCATCCGTCACAGTTCATGAATTTGCATTTATAATGATTTGTTTATTTTATTTTTTAGAACTTTTTTTTGGTGAGGAAGACTGGCCCTGAACCAACATCTGTTGCCAGTCTTCCACTTTTAGCTGAGGAAGACTGGCCCTGAGCTAACATCCGTGCCCATCTTCCTCTATTTTGTATGTGGGATGCTGCCACAGCAGTGCTTGAGGAGTGGTGCATAGGTCTGCACCCAGGATCCGAACCTGCAAACCCGGGGCCACAGAAGCAGAACATGTGAACTTAACCAGTACGCCACCGGGCCAGCCCCTAATGATCTGTTTATTATTTGTCTTCCTCACTAGACTGGAATCTTCACGAAGGAAAAGACTGTTTTGTTCACCACAATATCTTCAGAGCTGCGAACAGAGGTTGGCCCAAAAAGGGAATCAATAAAAGTGTCCCAAATGAAGACACGGAAAGATTACGAAAATTAAACGCCACAAATGCACCACCCACACCCTCAGGTGTGCGTGTGTCTGTCTGTCTCGAAGGGAAAAGCTGGGGAGAGGCATGCAAACAAATACTGTAAATGCAAAGACTTAACCTCCCCTTCCCAGACCTGGGATCCAAATCTGGCTGAAACGAACTCCCCGGAAGTTCTCCAGCAGTATCTCATCCCATTGTTCCTTTCTTCTTTAAATATAGATGTTTACACTGTAAGGCTTTTATTCATTATACCAGTTAATCTGTACTTTCCTCTTGGTACTTAACACTTTCTATTTTCTTTCAAAAGCATGCGCCTGTCTTATTTACTCTGCAAACTTCCTGGGAGCAGAGGAGTAGGGGTGGGAGGCAATGAGGTGGATACAGCCAAACTAAACCTTACATGCTGGAGCTTTACATTTAAAGTACATTTATAAGGTTTACCTTTGCATTTGTAACTGATATAACGAGGCAGAGATTAAAGAAGAAATATACTGATGATAGATGCCTTGTAAGTCTCTTAAGGTAATACAAGTCCCTACCTAGATCCAATTTGCAGAAACAGAATGTACATTTCCACTGAATTTTATTACACTTCTTCAGTGAAAGGCACATAATAGCTATGCTTATTTCTAGAATGCCTGACAACCTTCATCGTCATACAAATATCTGTATACAAGTCACGAGGATGCCATAAACGGTGAAACACGGATGCTCTAGCAGCATGGAGAAAAGCCTTATCCATAGAGACAACCTTCCCATTTTCCTTCAAACCTACGTTCAATGGACCACATTCTTTCTTTTTCATTTTTTTCAGTCATTCCGCATTTAACCTTGTCATCTATTTAAGTTGCACATTCCTTTCATTTCCCCAGTCAGCACCAGGGATCCTAATTCTATCTGGAGTACTTTCCTGCGGTACTAACAGCCTCCCAACGCCGTCAGGCGCCTCTGCTGGTTAGGGTGACAAGACAGAAGCTTCTGTGCCCTGCCAGTTATCATGGCTTCCCACTAATTAGCAAGAAACAGTGAGTCCTTACAGATCCCTAGCAAGTCTGAGCTTCACTACTCTGTGCGCCAGTGTCTACCATTAGGGCAGTACTAGTCAGTACAAGTAGGTACAGATAATCTGTGAATGAGCACCACCATCAAAGCAGATAATCGTGATTAGGTTAAGCCCTCCTCCATGGAGGAAAATAAAACTTAAGAGGAAGTGAGTTTAAATACATAAATGTCAGGGTCTTTTAAACTCATAATCTATCAATACACCAGGCAAAATCACCAACTCAGGTAACCTCACTTCCCCCAAGCCGAGGCCCCGTCATCACTGCCCTTATTCATTTCTTTTTGAGAGCCACCTGCAGCAGACCTATTTTCTAAGCCCTACAAAAGGCAGTCAACTCACAATTACATCTTTTCAGTGGACACAGATAGAGCTGGATAAACCCCCCTCAAACCTCATTAGAGTGAATTTGCCTATCCTTCCACCAACACCTTGCAAAACGGACCAATGCAAATCTCACCTCCATCCTTTGAAGGAGGTGCCAATAACCAGTGAAAATGTCCAAAAGGATGACAGATAGAGCAAAGAAATGCAACCAAACAGGCCAAAAAATAAATCTGAATCATATTTGCCTATATGCTGCCTCTTTTCATACAGAAAAAAATATTGCTCAAAAAAGTTAAATATTTACGTTTTGATGAACACTTCAAATAAAGGTTATGATTTGCTTTTAATAACTTAATTTGTGTTTTTCAATGTGGGGTAAGATAATCAGAAAAACTGAAATAATGGTGGGAGTAAATGTAAGTCATCAGAAAAATTAGAGTTCCCTTAATTAAATGCATTTTTTAAAAATATGGAAAACTGAATTCTTTAACTCTTAAAACAATCTGTTTTAACTAGCCCTAAGGTGATTCCTAAGCCACACTTGTAGGTAAAAACCACAAGGGAAAAAAGTTCAATGACCTTGTAAATTAGGAACTAAAAAACTGTAATGTTGTGATAACCTCAGCGGAATTACAGGAAAACAGTTGTCCGGAAATCGTTTTGGAAAATTACCATGAGGTAGGGGGAAAATGAGAGGGAAAAAAAAGGGAAGGGGAGGTTGCAAATAGTAAGATGCAGAATGGGAACCCAAAAGATGCGAAATACAACCTCCTCTGGCCCAACCGTCACGCAAACAACTTCTAAGCATCTTTAGATAAAAAAGAAAAATAGTCATTTTGCACAGGCGTTGGCTGAATGTTCGAGAGTTGGATGAATGGGGAAGACTTGTTATATACACCTAGCGGTGGGTGGATTTCACCAGGCTGCAGCCTCCACACAGCTTTTCTTTGCTGCACTGCAGAGGCGCCATCTTCTCCGTCTTAATCTTCACTCAATTCAATCCTTTTATCTGTACCCTAAAAAGAAAACCCTGAAGACCCTCCCCAGCAGCCCGCGCCCCCAGGGAGGGCTAAACCAGAGTGCCCAGCTCCGCCAGGAAGAGGCCGCGCCTTAATCAGACAAACACCTCCTTTGATGCACAGGAGGGGAGAGCTCGTGCCTCCCCACCACCCGCCACTGCCCTTTCCAATGCACGCCCTACTCTTCGCGTATTTCTCCCCAAGGGCTTTACATCCCAGCATAGAATTAACAAGCCTCGGAGGTGATGGGGGTGGGACGCTGAGGGGCCCCGAGGCTCCGCTCTGGCCCCCTCCGGGAGAGACGCGCAGCGCCGGGAAGGGAGTCGGGCGGGAACCTCGGTGGCGCAGACTAACGCGGCTCAGCCACCGCGCCCCGGGCTGGCGAGGGCGGGGTGTCGCGGCTTTTGTTCCCGGGGACCTTCTCCCTCCCCGGGATTAGCTAAAGGTGCGAGTGAACGGCAGGGGCGTCCAGGCTTGGGGAAGGAGCGCGGTGGCTGCGGGTCTCCAACCCCTCCCATCTCTCGCAACTTACACAAAAGGGAGACGCAGAAATGTACAAAGTTTGCCTGCGAAAGGTAGTGCGCGACCCTGCTTGGGGTCGCCCTCCGGAGGCCGCCGCGAGCAGCGGCCAAGAGAAAGGAGGAGGAGGTCGGGCGGGGAAGGGGCGCTGGGAATGCGAAGTGAAGGTGAAACGGGGCAGAAAAGGCAAAGGGAAGCGGGGGAGGGGGGACGCCCAGCTTCCCGAACTGTCCCGACTCCTTCTCCCCAGGGCCTGAGAGAAAGGGAAGGACAGCGATTAAGAGCTGGGGACAGGATCCAGGGACGCTGCATTTTCAGTTTTCCCCACGTGCTCCCTCCCCCTTCCCCCCATTTGGATGTCTCTCGCCTCCCTCGGCCCCCGGCCCCCGCAGGAGGAACTGAGTCAGGGTCTAAGCTCAGGATCGCCTCCTCCTCTTCTCGCCCCCGACTGGCGCGGACCAGGGAACCGGACGCCTCGCCCTCTGCCTCTCCGCGGGCCGGAGCGCGCGTCCCCGGGGCAGGGCTGGGCCGGAGGCGGGGATGCGCAGGGCGCCTGCAAGCGGGGGCGTAGGGCGCTGAGGGGAGAGGGGTCGCCTTGACTGCCCCCGGCTTCTCGGGATTAAAGTCTTGGGAGGAACGGGTCCCCAGCGTGCCCCCCGTCCCCAATTCTGAGGCGCAGCACCCACCTCCAGCGCCCGAGCCGTCCAGGCGGCCAGCAGGACCAGTGCCAAACCGGGCAGCATCGCGACCCTGCGCGGGGCGCCGAGTGTGCTGCTGTGCGAGGGGGATCCGCCGCGCCCTTGCTCTGTCCGTGCCGCCACCGCCGTCGCCGCCGCCGCCTCTGGTGGCCCCCACGCTCGCGCTGCTCCGGGTGCTCTCTGCCACCGCTGCCGAGGAAACTGACGGAGCAGGAGCGCGGCGGCGGGGCTCGGAGCTCGACCAGTCAGCTGATCCGGCCCACCCCGCTAGGCACCCGAGAGAGACCCCTAGCGGCGCCGCCGGGGAGCTGCGCGCGCTCGGCCCGGCAGGGGCCCGCGCCCCGGTGCCCGCAGGTGCAGCGCCCCCGGCTCCTGCAGTCCCCCGAGCCACCCCGGCCGCCGGCCACCTGGGCTCCGCGAGCAGCAGGAGGGAGAGGCTGGGGCGAGGAGCGGGACGGTGCAGGCTCAGGGAAAGGTGAGTCGTAGGACGTCCGGGCTCCAGAAAAGTCGAGAGCGCTCTCCGCTCGTTCCCGTGAGCTTGACTCATCCGACCCCGCAGGCCTCTCAGGGATGTCGTATAAAAGGCTGCTGCTGGGATGCGTTTTTATCCGCATTTCGTTTTTTGTCTGGGTTTGGAGCGGTGGGGGAGGCGTTTCTGGTAGAGAATGGGAACACGACAAGCTTAAAGGAAATAGGATTTGTTTGCTTGTTGAGAGAGAAAAAGCCTCATTTTTTCCAGTCAAAAGCAGCCACGAGCAGCCAGCAATTTCTATCTTTAGAATGAACCGAAGGAAAAAGGCACTGGACCTAGCGAAGAAGCTGGCGACCCATTTACTTCTCCTTGAAAGAAGGATTTTTTGTTTTTTGTTTATTTATTGTGGGGTGGGGTTTTTTTTAGAAAGGAGTCAATGGGGTTTTTATCAGGCAGGGATGTAACATCCATCTGAGCTGAGGGCGAAGTGAAAGTTAAGAGGCAAAGGATCTGGAGAGAGGGTTCTTATTTGGCCCCCAGAACTAAGAACTCCTGACCTCAAACTCTGTCCTTGTTCTTCGTTGTGTCTGTCCTAAATTACAGAAATGAACCTCCTGCGAAGCCACCTTCTCCTAGATTAAACACAAATCCTCCAGTGCCCAGGTAGTGTCCACTTAGTCTAGAACGGTCTAGAGCCGCTCAGATGTATCCTCTGCTCTTGACCTGAAGGAGCACCAGGCACGGAGCCTCAGTCGACAGTGGGGCTGGTGGGAGGGAGTGAAGCCAGGGACTCTGGTGGTGGGACCATGGCCCAGCCAGGGGGATGTGCACTACCTTCCTGAGAAGTCCGCCTTTATCTGCCAGCTCCCCTAAATGTTCTCCTCTATCTTTTCCCCTTCTGGGCATCCAATCCTGGTCCTTGGATTACTTTTTCCTCTGAATGTCCTTGGAAAGTCCTCAACAAATAAGAACAAATATTTGTTCTCATGCGGTATTTCTGTACATGCTATCCGTCATTTACTTCCTACAAAAGCCAGTGCGGCCCTTAGTATTATTATTCCCATTTATAAGTCAGGAAATGGAAGCTGAGGAACTTCTTCGAAATCTGACGACAAGTAAGTGACATGAAGTTGGGACTGTAGGAAAATCCTAAGTGGCAGCAAAACCAGTTGCTTCCCAAATCCATTTACCCACCACCATAATTCCCTGTGCATCCTAGGTTTGTGTGAGCAATTGAAGGCATCTGAATGCAGGGAGGATGACTCGAAGATGGGGAGAGAGCAGGAACAGGTACAAATTTTGCGGGCCCCATACAAAATGCAAAAGTGGGGCCCTTTGTTTCAAAATTAAGAATTTTAAGTTGGCGACAGCAGAATGTTAAACCAACCGTGGGGCCCTTCTGAGCACAGGGCCCTGTGTGACTGCACAGTTGCCTGCCCATGAAACCAGTCTTAGGAAGGAGGAAGGTGTTTTTAAGAGTAAAGAACTTTTATTGAGCGCAAAATTAAAAAATACAGAGGTGAGGTTATAATCTGTAAAATAAAGGTTCTTCAATTTAGCAGGTTCCCTTTCTACTCCTGAAATCCACCACACTCATGCATTCCCTGGACAAGATGTTCCCTGGGGGAAGATGATTAGCTGCTGTGTCAGATTGATGGACACTCTTTACATTTCCGCCTGTTCTATCACCACTCAGGGATCCTGATGGCTTGTACTTCTCAGCTGCTATCTCTGTTCTGCATTTAATACCATTGCCTGCCCTGAGGTATCTTCTGGATCCCCAAGCAGGAAATACAGTTACATCCCTTGTTAGAATCCTGCAACGCTGGGGAACGGACCGACCACCCACCGGCTGGAATCTCCAGGCATTCCAGCCTCGGCTTCAATACCTCAACTTGTGAGATGTTCACTAGCCCTTAAACCGTGCATTCTGTCTTTGAGCTGTTCTGGTTACCAGAAAGTTCCTAGCCCATTTAAACCCACATCACTTTCCTTTAACCTCCTACTCACGTGTCCTTGTTGTACCCCTATGACCACGCAGATCAGGTCTTTTCCACACCACACATCTTCATGTATTTGTCAGCACTTTTCATGCTGCTTCTGCCTCCAGTCCTTGCTTCTCAAGGAAACAGCACTTCCTTCAACAGTTGTGCAAATGGCACGGTTTCTGGTTCCTTCCACACCCTGACCATTCTCCTCCAAACGTGTTCTAGTTTGTCTGTATGTGTTTACAGTATCCTAAGAGTGCTCTGACCACTGCAGTGTGGAGTAATCTATTGCCCACCTCAAATGCCTAACGTTGCATTTGACCTTGTGGACTCAGACTGGTCACACTCGCTACCAGTTCTCCCAAATCTATTTTATGCCTAGCGCTGTGAGCCACATCTCTGTTATTTTGGGTTTAGGTGTTATCTGTGCCGCGCAAATGTCACCAAAAGCAATGTTAATCTCAGCCATGAGCTGGGCCCTGTATTAGTCTGCTAGGGCTGCCATGACAAAGTATCACAGACTGAGTGGCTTAAACGACAGAAATTTATTTTCTCCCAATTCTAGAAGCTAGACTTCCAAGATCAAGGCATCAGTAGGGTTGATTTCTTCTGAGGCTTCTCCCCTTGCCTTGCAGATAGCTGTCTTCTCCTTGTGTCTTCACATGGTCATTGTCCTTCAGTGTGTGTCTGTGTCCTAATCTCCTTTTATAAGGACACCAGTCATATTGGATTAGGGTCCACCCTAATGACTTCATTTTAACTTATTACCTCTTTAGAGACCCTGTCTCCAAATATAGTTATAGTCTGAGGTCTCAAGGATTAGGATTTCAACTGTGAATTTCAACATATGGATCTGGGAGAGGAACCCAGTTCAGCCCATAACAGGGCCTCATTTGGAGCAGCTCGGACTTATTCTCTGCTAATCTCTGACCTTTATGACCAATGACCAATGGTTCTTCTGCCCTTCTCAGTCGGACGATCATTCAGCTCAACAGAAAAAAATAGAAATGGAAGAGTTCTTTCTCTCTGTCATGCATCACCACAGCATGACACTCCCCAACAGCTAGCTTATCCCTCTCAAGATCATCCAGCACTGAAAATAAATAACATGGCCCATTACATTTTTCCTTAGAAAATTTTATCAAAACTTGAACTTGTGTTGACATTTAAAATCTGAGTTAGTTTGCTAGAGCTGCCATAAGAAAATATCACAGACTGGGTGGCTTCAACAACACAAATTTATTTTCTCACAGTTCCAGAAAGTAGAAGTCTAAGATCAAGGTGCTGGCAGGGTTGGTTCCTCTGAGGCCTCTTTACTTGGCTTGCAGATGGCAGCCCTCCTACTGTGTCCTCACTTGGTCTTTCCTCCACGAGCCTGCAGCCTTGGCGTCTCTTTCTTTATCCTAATCTCCTGTTCTTATAAGGACACTGGTGAGATTGGATTAGGGTCCACCCTGGTGACTTCATTTTAACTTAATTGCCTCTGTGAAAGTCCTATCCCCAAATACAGCCACGTTCTGAGGTACTGGGAGTGAGGCTTCAACAGAAGAATTTTGGAGGAACACTGTTCAGTCCGATACAGAACCCCTAAAATTATTTTTACATTTTAAGCTTCCCTCATATCCATCCTTCAGAGTGGATTCTCTCCACCTTTTATTCATATCCTTTTGAAACCAGAATACCTCTAGGTACCCAGAGTGGTTTCTTTAGCTGCCTCCTGGTTGGATATTTGCATTACTTGGTGACTCCACACTTCCAATAGTGTTGAGAATTATGGTACCTTCTATAGAGGTGCTACCTTGCTGAGTATTAGCTGTAATGGCAGACACAGCACCATATTGGAGAGTTTCACCTGCTTCTTAACTTGTCCTTCCTTTGAGAACATCATGCCGATTCCTCATTTTAGACCAGAAGTAGATCCTGAGTTGCATTCTCTTTCTTCTCATTCTACCTTCTCTAAGACAGAAGGGAATTATTATTTTCTTTATCTCATCTGCAGCTTTCAATAGATATAAAAGTCTAAACTGTAAATAGCATTCAGGCTTTTTATAATAAAATCCTTTCTCCAATGACGGGCACAGTTTTTCACATAAGACTTTTTTTCTTTCTTTGTAATGAATAGACACAAAGAAACATTGAAATTAATAATTAGCACTTAACATACCTACATTTAACCACACGTTTCTAATAGACCTGCATGTAGACAGAAGATGTGACATTTTACTTGTCTGTTTTCTTAAGTTACTGCTTCATGCATGGGTCTTTACTCCAGTAGTGTGTCTACGAAGTGTTAATTTATTTTCAAACAATACATACTTTAAAAATTAGTCCTTCTCTGCAGTCATTACACATAACTACTTCAAAGACAGCCTTCAGATTCAAGTAAATAATAGTTTTACAAATGGGCTAAATGTATTTCAGTAGCAACTTTATGGGACAGCAAAATTAAATGTTTAACCAGGGAGCACTGTTGGCAGCTGGCTTACATAACTTGTTTGAAGAATGATGGCAATTCCAAGGTTGCCGCAAGGACTAATTTAAAAGAATATTTCTACATTTTATGGGATAAAAAGGAAGAACAAGAAAGGAGAAAGAAATAGGCCATACATGCCAACCTCAGAGTTAGGAAGTGTGAAAATCAATCCAGCAGCAGGAAGATTTAATGGAGGCATATGGGCATTTTACAGGTTTGCTTCTTTAGAAAAGTTTAGTAATAAGGCAGCAGTATGCAATGGTAGAAAAGAACTCAGGCTTTGAGAAAGCTTCACTACTACGTATCAGTGTGGAAATAGTTATGGAACCTACCAGAGCCTTGATACCAAACCTCTTAATCTCAAATTTGTGTGCCCATGCACAATAAACTCAATAAGCCAATCCCTGAGACATTGGTGCTTGGAGATGGAGAAAGATTTATTCAAATTGGCCAAAACAAGAAGGGGGAGGATAGGTTCTCTCAAATCTGCCTTAACAAAAGAAGAAAGCAAGGAGTTTCATAGAGCTAAGGGACTTGGCAGGAGGAGTTTTGGAGAAACAGAGGGGAAATCTGTGTTTCTTTCCCTCCACATAAGCCCTTGGGCAATCAGAGTTGTGGACATCAAGAACAGCAGGTGGCTGGTTATCTGGGGATGGTATCTTCCTTAAAGGCATTCTTTTTCTTCTGCAAAGCAAGCTCATAAATCCTTGAGTCACCTCTCAGGTTAAACAAGGAAAGAGTAAATTAACAAGATTAGCTTCTTTTCGTCTGTGACTGTGTTGGGAACAAGGTCAAAGGGTAATCATGTTCTCACTGAATATTTATAGTAGTCCTCAGATACCCAGCTTCAGCCTCCATTTCTGAAAATGCTCCCGTCATCAGATCGTTTGGTGACAAACTGAGAAGGTACCTAGCACAGTGACTAATTTACAGTAGAAGTCAATTCTCTTTTCTTGCGAGAACAGGAACCCACAATAGCTGTCACTCAAGTGAGCAGTAGAGTCCTGACTTTGCCCTTGCCAGGGACTGCCACTTATCATGTTGGCTGTCAAACCAGTGTTGCTTAGGTGGATCCTTAAGTAATATGCTTCCAATAAAAGTTCCAAATTTGTGAATGATTTACTTTTTTTTAAACATAAATGAGAGCAACCTGAAGATTATCCTTATATCAGACTATTCATTTGTATGCCAATATGCTGTCTTGAATGAGAGAGAAAGGGATGGAGCTGTAGAATTAGGCAAAACCCTGACCACTCCTGGGGGCGTGTGCCAGGTATATGAAAGATACGCTTCCTGTTTGCAGGTAGCACAGTCCTTGGAAAGGCTGCTTGCCAGAGATGCTTAGAAGATTACATGGGGCTGGCCACTTCCTGCAGAATGGAGGACCACATCACGTGGTCAAGAAGAGTCACTCCCCAGAACAGCTGCAGGAAGCCACGGCTCTCACCAGGAGATGCTGTGCCCTGGGGCCACTGCCAGCACTCAACACTGTTGACAAATATTGAGGCTGAGGGATGTCATGCTCCAAGGTAACTAGACCTCTTTGTCTCCACACATCCCATACTTAGCGATTGTCCTTTACGTTCTCCTCTTTAAGAAGAGAGAAATTCTAGAGTGTTTGATGAGTAACTCAACCTTCAAAATCCGAGTGAAGGCTATAGGCAGAGAAGTGTAACCTAAAACCTAAAATTAATGCGAAGATTCCAAGCAGATAAGCCTTGAGCATTCATAAACATATTTTACAAATAAATATCCTAAATGACACAACAAACACACAAACCAACGAACAAATAAATAAAAGCTCCATAGTCATTCAGTATACAACTTTTGTCCCTAAGCAAACACCCAACTTTGCCATGTCCCTCAATTAACATTTTTTGTCCTATGTGTAATTTATTGCAGTTAAAGTATGAATTTTAGGAATGGAAGTGTTTAGTATTGATGGATCAATCAAAATTTTTACACTTCACTGCAGGCAGGGTAAAAAACTAATACATTCACTCCTGTTAAAAAAGCTTATGTTTATGCGAGAAAAAATATCTGGGAAAAAAAGACAGTGAAAAAGCATGTATCAGTGAGTACAATTTGGTCTAAAGTATTGTGTGTTTATTTGTAAATTCGTCAGAAGAAAATTAGAGTTACACCTGTAGCACTGGGATGAATAAATTAGGGATGTCAGGAAGAGGGTTTTTGCAGGGGATTTTTTAGCAACCTTAAAGAGAAAAGAAAGAGGGTGAGAAGGAGGATGTTCTAGGGAAGGACCAGGTAAATACATCAAGAATGTTCGTGGTGGTGCTGGTATGTGGGAGTTAGCTGTGGGGGACGTGTTAATGTTTAAGAAGCTGAGGAATTCAGGTCAGATGGAATGGGCAGCAGTGGGCTACCACTCACTGCAGGTTTCCTAATCACACTGACATGGTCTAACTTTCCTAGAGAAAGGTCTCACCGTGGGGAAGGTGTAGGGAAACTTGGAGGATGAAAAAGTTGGGATCAGGAAGAAGCGGGAGAAGGGTATGCCAGAGGCTCCAGGGATGATCATAGATGGGATGAGTAAAAAGTTTGTGACAAAGTCATGGTAGGACACTTTCTTACTAATAAGACCAAGGATTGCTGTGTGCCACAAATGAGATGAGAGACAGTAACTCAGCCAGGAAAGGGTGGAGCAGGGAGCACTTGTGCCCGGTTCTGTCTCCACTGGGCACCATTAATTGTGATTTTTTAAATGAGAGAAATAATAAGCTTGACTTTTAGTTTGTATTTAGGGATGAGAAGTACATACAATAGGAAGCAACTTGATTATGGTGAGTGAAGACTGAATGGAAGGCGAATGAGGGATGAATGTTAGAGATGTGGCTGCAGTGGTTTTCTGTGATAATCGATGATGTATCCCCAACAGATGAGCAGAAAACTATTCAAAGGAAGTTAACATGATGTTACGAAAAGGCAGATATGTTTTGTGTTTACTTATAAGAACCAAATAGTCACTTGGAGATTTAGTATTTGTGAGATGAACTCTAAACACCCCTGTAAATACAATGAGTAAGAAGTGAGTTATATTTATATTTCAAGGTTATTTTACAGTACTTGTGTGCATGAGAATGATAATTTTTGAAAAATGAAGAATAACGTCTTCTAGTACAATTTCCAAACTGCCTACTGTGGAACCCTAATTCAACAGTATGTTATTAAGTATTACATAGTTACGTGAAAAGAGTTGTGTAATCAAATAAGTTTGAGAAGTAAACAGTTAAAATTAAACAAACATCTTTATTTTAGAATGCTTACAACCCTTTAAAATGCTGACATGCATTTTGAATTTTAAAGATGGTGGCTCTTTATGTAGCATCCCTCTCTCTCTCCTGTATTGCTTTTGTTTTTGTTTACTGCATCAAATCCTGGGACCAGCGTTTCACAAAGCAAAGTTTAGGGAACTCTGTTTTGAAGGTATCCATTCCAATGGACTCTTGGATTTCTTTTTTCAAACCCTGGTAGAAATGAAGGTTTATAGTGTACATTTTTGTCAAAGCAGATGGGTTCTTTCCACTGAAAGGTGTTTCCATGCATGACCTTGAAGATAAATTAGTAAAAGAAGAAAGTAGAAATATTAGGCTGACAGACATTTTAAAGTAGGGCATAACAGATGCCATAAAAAGCATTCTGAAAGTTTAAAATAGGAGTTAAAATGTGTGTTATATGGAAGATACTGGATTAGAGTCTTTGAATATTTATCATACAAATGTGCAAGTATATGACCAGCTTCTTCCCAGTTTGGGGGAGAAATGGGACAGATTCTAACTCACATTTGAGACTGCTTCTCTTTAAATTTTCCTGTGTAAAAACGAAGAAGTGTTGCTAAGTTTACAAAGATAAACCTCCGCGTAAGACTTGAGTTCACTGCACTGCCTTTAATCTTCCGGGACACGGGCCCTCAAGAAGTAGCCTGGACCTCCACTGAGATGAGGGAGGAGTTCCGGGAAGGAGAATTGAAGGAGACAGTTATTGGATTCGTTTGAAGAAGTCTTTGCTGAAATTTCTCATAAAGTGTGCGTGGAAGGCAGGGGTGAGGGATATAGAACTCTCTGTGTCAAAAAAATAAATCTGTGTTTCCATAGTTTTTCTCTGTTAGTCTTCATTGAAAAATTCATTTACTGCTAATGGCATCAAGCTGCCCTGTCAGCCCCCATTATTGTACCACAAAGAAAACTAAGGCAAACGTTTAGGGAGCCTAGTCTGGAAAGGAATGTTGTCATTTCTGTTTTCCAACTATCAGTGAAACAGATTCTGTTATCCAAACTCACAGGGCCAAGGGTCCAAATAACCACCTTGTTCTGGTGAGTTTGTGAGGCCTGATAAGAGAAACTGACTAAATAAAAATAGGAACCAGGCAGGTCCATTTCCTTTTGCAGAGGACGGGTAAAATGAGATGGAAATAAACTGGAAAAATGATGAACACACGAGTCTTGGTTTTCAGATAATTCTAGAGCTCTAGCGTCAACGTTGGCTTAAATCTTGGAAAATATCAAATTCAGTACTAATTTTTGGCCTATGTAAGAAAACAGGTCATAGATTTGGTTAAACTCAGTTGTACCATTTCAGCCTCCACTACTTGGGAGCTACTGGGAAATTTTTTTTGATCAGGCTCTATCAACATTGTTTGGTGTTTTTCCACCAAAATCTCTAAACAACGCCAAAAGCCATGTGTAGATTGTGTCTAGAAGAAGGTAGACCAAGAGATTAGAAATAGCTAGAATAACTCAAGTCTTTAATGCTATCTGATTTGTCTCTATAATTGAATGCCTAGATAACATCCACAAGAGACATTTTTCAACCAAGATGAAGAAGTTTAGGCAAGCACAGTGATGTGCATCCGTGCACAGGCTTACTGCTTTTTGGAATTAGTCTTCAGTGGTAATCATTCAGTATAACATTTAGTCTCCATGCACCAAACACAACCTAGAGCTTTATTAGTCCCTTGGGAGTAAGAAGCAGCTCTCTGTATAAGTAGCAGTTTCATCCTGATTTTTCAAGCTTAGAGTTCTCTCACCTTTCACACACTTGAAGAGAAGATGTTGGATGGCTGGCCCAGAGGAACTTCTTTCATTTCTGAACTCCTCTGGTAAGGAAGAATTCGATTTAACATGGTTTCCTTTGCTCTAAACATGCCAGGTGCCTCCTCCTCCACCCCACAATACCCTGTGATTGCCTGAACTCTTTCATCTCCAGCTCTCTCCCAGTTCCTGTCAATTGAAAAAGAACCTAGAATTACAATGTTTAGAACTGAAGTGGATGTAGAGCTCATTGAGACCAAGCCTTTCATTGAAGAAGGACTCATTGGTGACCCAGAGAATTAGTGTTACTTGCATATGGTCATATGACTATTTGATTAGCAAAGCTTGGCGCTGACTTCCCGTTCTCATTTCATCTTCTGATACTTCCCAGATCTGGCAATCTCAGCAGACCTGACTCATGAAAACAGTGGGCATGGAGATCAGCCATACTTTATGAAGTGGTGCTATTTTTCGTCATCTAAAGTTGGTTTATCTTTCTAGAAAGTTGGATTTGGAACCCAACTTGGAAATCACCTGCTTGATCTCCCATGAATGTGAGTGTCTTACCTGCAATATTCTCAAGACAATAATGTGGCTTCTGTTTCCTTATTTTCTATTATTGGGAGCCATCTTTAGGAAACATAAACATTTCACTGGAATGTTTTTGTTGTTATAGTGAGCTAAAATTTACCTTCTCTTCACTTCTCTCCTTTAGTCCCAATTCTGCCATGTGGCGTAAGGTTAAATGCAAAGAGTGACTTTGTTTTCATCCACAGGACACTCCTTCAGAAGTTTTAAAACATTTATCCAGTGTTCCCTTAGGCCTCTCTTCTCTTCTCAAAGCTAAACATCTTGTTATCTAAACTGTGGCTTATAGGATATAGTTGCCAGATCCCTCATGATGTAGAACTTTGGGTGTATTCCTTTCTTCAAATGAATATATTCTATTTGTCCACTCATTCAACAAATATTCAATGAGCATCTACTAAGTTGAGGGACATTTAAAAAAAACAGAAAAGCAAGTAAATGAGAAAAAATATAGTGTGGTACATAATGATATAGGCTATGGAGCAAAATTAAGCAGGGTAAGGAGAGATGAGACTATGTGTATGGTCAGGAGGTCTGAGGCTTGCTATTATACTTAGAATGATCAGAAATAGACTCACTGATAAGGCGACATTCGAGTAAATATATAAAGGAAACGAGGGGAGGGTTGCAACTGTTTGGGGTAAGCAGATGCAGACATAGAGGCCAGAATAAGCCTGATGTTTAAAGAAGAGCCACATGGCCCTAGAGGCTCCAGTGGAAGGAATGAGGTGAATAGTGAGGTCAGGGATGTTGTTATGGGCTGAATTGTGTCTCCACTCCCCCAAAATTAATATGTTGAACTACTAACCTTCAGTACCTCAGAATGTGAATATGTTTGGAGACAGAGTCTTTAAAGAGGTAATTAAGTTAAGATGAGGTCTTTAGGGTGGGCC